AAAAAAAAAAAAAAAACAGTGGCAGCCAAACAGTAATGAACAAATTAATCGTAATTACTAGCGCATTGCTGAAAATGAATAATGTTGCAAACTAACTTTCGTTCAATTATTCAAATTATAAGAAAAGTTCATGAAAGTAGTTTACATGCGATAGGTATCAGCGATATTAGTGAGTTTTCATTTCTTTAGGAATGTATTTATGCATAAGACAAAAAATTATGTAATGTGTAAGACGTGAAATGTATGCTACACAAAATTAACAGATTTTATAAAGTTAACAAATCATGCAAATTTGTAAAGATTTTAAAATTTTCATTACGAATATCATAGCTGTTGTGTACAAACCATGACAATTATAGCTTCGTCCAATTAAAAATAGTAAATTTAAAAATTTGATAGGATAGCTAATTTGTAATAAATCACGATTTTTATCAAGTTAATTTTAATTGCTCGCAGGCAAAGTAATGCGTACTGATGAATTAACAATTTGTCCTTTACTGACTGCTTTTTGAAAGTGTCGTAGTGCAAATTGCGACGCGCAAATATTTTGATACAATCTTTATTTTTCCAATTTGCATAATCAAATTTCATTTTTTAAGCTATCAGTAGAAACTTTCTATGACATTTTTGATCAAAATTTGAAATTTAAAATATAACAAATGGATGCTAACTAGCATTTCAGGAATTAACGTTGCATGCAAAAAATATGTGCTTAGTTCAGAAATTAGAAAAAAATATTTTCAAATAAATATAGCAGTTCGTAAGACAGAAGGAAATGTACTCTCACTAAGCACTTGACAAAATACAGAAGTAAAAAGTTTATACTCGTAAATTACATAAATTACAACTTTGCGCAACAAACTATGACTGCTAAATAGAATATTAAAATATTTTGAAACTATTTACATACAAACTTTATTAAATATTAATAAAAACAGTTTTTTTTTTCGCCACAGTTTTCCAGTTGTGTTACCGACTAATAAAGATATACTAAATTTAATTTGAATATTGGATACAGTAAAACTTGTGAAATTGTTTTGTTTAATAATAATTGTTAAATTAGTTTTTGTCATCAGAACTGATTTACTTTTCGACTGATGAAATAAATTAAAATGAAATAATAAAACAATAAACTAACAATTAAAACACAAATATATGTTCAAATTATCTCTTGACCGTTGAAAAATGTGTAGTATTTCATATTTTTGTAGGATTCAGCATTATCTTGCTGTACTCTTGAAAATTCTTCATGCGTCACGCAAAGATCATCCATGTAAAATGCACGTCGTATTACAAATGGTTCATAGCACGTGCCATTTGAATGTTTATTAGTTGTATTGTTTCTATTTTGGTTGTGAATTTGCTGATATCTGTAAATTTTGTCTATTTTTTTTGAAAAGCTAACTGATCCAAATGACTTCAGACTTGATCAGGAAGCTAAATGTGGATGATAAACGTTTTCTTCTTAAATTTTAGATTTTTTCTTTTAATTTTGATTTGACAAACCTATTTTCGCTGACGCATATATAATCATAAGAATCAATCATCCTCCACACATATCCACTACGACAAGTATTCATACCAAATGTTGTTAAATTTTTGAAAAACCTTAAAATAATTACGTTGTTACACAAAACAACCAATAATAAGTGCTAATACTAAAGCATGAAACATTATTGAAAAATTTAAAGAAAAAAAACTTGGCTAAACTACAAAATACAAGAGACTTAGTGCTATCACTTTGGATTGATAATAGAGAAATGATTGTGCCATTATTTCTGTAACAAATTCCTCTCTAGAAGTTACCATTCTGAATTATATTCCAGAGTCTTAGCGGTTTTATCAATAATAGTTTCATTCAAAGTAGATATGGTATTTTTGACAACATGTGTATTGTTCATATGATTTTTCACATTATTTTCAAGGATCTGAAATATTTAAAAAATAAGTTTCAGGTTATTAGTAGTTTAATATTTTCAAAATGAGTGAGTGTAACCTAAATTTACTCCAAATAACTGCATTTATTAACTTTTATTTCCAATTATTTCATAAATTTTAAGTTGCAAAAAGATCTTTCCGTTCTTTATTAATTAATTTATTTACTGCTAATAGTAATTATTGTAATTCAAAGTTTTTATCGAAAAGAATTAATTAAAAATATATGTATTAAAAATGTATACTTCACTGAATCTTGAATTGATGTGTACAACAGCTGAACGATGCTTTCGATCAATCTCATCTACTCGTATTTTAATAAAAGGATAATTTTTGTTCGTGTCATTGTCGAAAAAGTAAACCCATTCTGTACCAACTGTCATGTCATCGTAATCTTTGCTATGTGTAATTATCGTTGAATAATAATTTTTATCTTTTAGTTCAACTTTATGCAATATAATTGCTTCCTATAATTTATCGATAATTAACATTTATTCTTTTATTAAAATATGAGTAGATGACATTAAAAAAAATATTTTATTAATTTATTTTTCATCTAATGTGAAGATTAACGATAAAATGATTAGTTTATGGAAAAGCACAAGTAATGACTAACTGTATGGTCATTAATGGACATAATTACTTTGTAAACAAAATTTTTTATCTATGGCATGCAACAAAGAATGCTTTTGTTGCCAAAAATAATAATTGCAACCTGTTTAATGCCAGAATCATAATTTGTAGGTGTTCGGAATTCCAATGTGAAAATATTGCAAGAATTATTTTTATCAAAGGGTATCATAATCAGTAGCCAGTCACTTGAGCAGTTATGTGGAATACTTAATGATGCAAGACGTAAAGTTGAACTTTTCTTGCCATCTCTGATAATTTTTAATTTATTCAAATAAAATTATCTATTCACAATTAAACACACTCATCATTCATCTAGATTATATAATCATTACGCAGTATTTATTTAAAATATCTGTAGAATCACTTTACATACTTGATTATCAGTGATTTTTACTTCACATCTCTCATATTTTTCCTGTCAAAAATAATGCTTTAATATTTTTGATATAATTTGTGACTGATATTTACTTTTAAAAGATAACAACCTTCCAAAGTAATAGATGCGATTACTAGGTAGCCAGCCAAGAAAGTCAAGATGAGGTCCATTAAGGCCTGGTCCACTTAAACCATAGTTGGACAAGTACATCCAAGCATTTGCTGCACTCATGATATCATAACGATCATCGTATTCACCAATATGTGCGAACGGAAAAATCTTAATATACGTATGTACTTTGCATATTCAAATTGCGAACGCAAGAAAAAAAAAACTGCTAAGAATTATATAATTAAGAAAATTCGCAATATTAAAAATTATTGTTTGAAAACTTTTCTAGTATTGCTATGCGAAGTGTGCAATCAGATGTTCTTTCTAGATCTAACTCTAAAAATTTCTTTTTAAAAAGATTTTTTTTAAGAGGCAGAAGAATTTGTTTATTTATATTTACAGTTCCTAATTACGCAAAAAAAAAAATTTAATTAATTTTGAATTAAATTATTTTTGCATAATTTAGTTTGAATTTAATTTTTAATTTTGTTTTTATATTTTGCTAAAACGATAACGATGAAATAAAGAAGAACAAAGTTTGAAAAGTAATCATACTTTATTAATACTTTACGACATGAATGTCAATTTTTAAAATATGATTTTTTTTAAATTTATATTTTTATAAGTATGACTTACATTTACATTGCGATCACTATAAGAGTGACCAATGTTCAAGCTATGAATCATTTCATGCGTAATGACCGAATTGAATAATAAACGTGGAGTTATCAAAACACCACAATGTTTGTCATAAAGTGCTCCATGCTCTGTGTTTAATATTGTTATTTTTTTCTCGTTTAGTTTGAATTTTTGTGATGCAAATTTTATGCATAACTTTTTGGCAGTACCAAAAAACTGAAATATAAAATGATTATTTATGCAACAATTCGCTACCATTTTGCCTGCAATTTACACAACCAAGCACAAAAACGAATTTAACACATTTATAACACTTGCAGGTTTTACAAATGTTTTGTCATTGTGAACACTTTTCTCCATCTCAGCAATGCGTTTAACATGTTTTGCTGTCCATGGAAGAGTAATCCAACCGATAACTTCACTTCCTTTTATATTATAAAGTCCATTTGAAACATCCAAAAAATAATTTGCAACTGTATCTGAAGAGCAACTTTTACAATTTGAATGCAAGTAAAATAAAAAAGTTTTTATTTTAATTGACAATAATTTTATTTAATTTACTGCTTATCAATCTGACACAGAAAATAATTTCAACTTTTTTGAGAAAGGAAAAAGCCTGTCAAAAAAGTTATGAATTTGGTTTTCTATATCAAGTGAAAATTATCATTGTACATAACTAGTTTAAACAGCTATTTTATTATTTAATTCATATCTAAGTTTCAGTAGTATTTCTAGTAGCTGCAATAGAGTTTACTAAAGTTGGTGTAAAAATTAATATATTAATGAGAATTGAATTCAGGCAGTAATTTTTGATTGTTATTTTTAAAATGTGCTTAAAGAGTTGACACATGTTATTATTTTCAATTATAATAAATACATGCCTGGATCAGTACCCGTTATCCAGTTTTGATACCATTCACGTGTTTCTGGCTCATATCTTGCTGTATCAGCAAATTTGCATAAAATAACTGACCATTGTTCATTAGCACGTTGTGGTATTGCAGTGATATAAAACTTACAAAAACTATTTCCACTTAGCACAAATAATGACCACAAACAAAATAATAATTGTAACTTCAACAGTTTCCAGTTATGATTACAGTGAGATTTGATGACATCCATTAAGGATTTTCGCGAAATTAGTCCAAATTTTATAGGAACAACTTTTTAAACAACAGTTAGATACGAACTGAATTATTTCAAAACTGACCTTTGCTTTTCTGACCTGAATGAAAACACAATAAAACAGAATTTGGTGTAAAAACTGATGAAAACAAGTTCGTATACTGTTTAGTACATTGATTAGAACTTCTAAAAAAATTATGCAATTTGATAGAAAAATTTTGTTGACAAATTATATGGTCCAAAGTCTAAAAAATCTTTAGAGATTTAATTTATCTGCAATATTTACATGCTTAACAATTTTGTTTTATTATTTTACAAACTACTGATATCGTTGTTTCAAAATTTTAAAAACAAACATAATACAGTTCAAAAAGTCAAATTTCAGATATAGCGCAAAAAATTGATGAATATATTGCAAAATTATAAGAGCTAATTGATAAATTGTTGCATTCATTGTATCATTTTGTGTTTAAAATTTTTCCAAACAGATAATTAATATTATGCAAAAATATAGACGGACTTAAGATTTTTTTTGGATTAATTTTACTTTAAGCTTTTGAAATTAATATATTTTATACTTCAATTATTATTGTCTTTTGCAGTACATGAAAATTGAGCTGAAATCAATTACTTCGATTTCAATTTTTTAAATTATTGCATGCAGCTGCATTAATAGGCAAAAAGTGATAAATTCTTATTAACCAAGCGAAAATGGCTTACTTGGCCAAAATAATACTGAATTGATCAGTTAGACTTAAGATTATTTTAGTTTAGTGTAAGTGACAAAATTTTTGTACCTGAACGGAAAAGAAAAAAGACTGGAAAAATAGTTAATTTTTGACAAAAAAATTTCATTTCTTTAGTATTTAACAACTGGTATGAGCAGAAAAAAAACAAAAAATAACACGAGAATCAAGACAAAAAAAAACAAAAAAAATGTAATTTGAGCTGAAAATGAAAATTCAGCAAGAAAACGAATGATTGATTTTACCGTTTCTATTCCAATAAAGTAATCAGAAAATTTTCAGCCTTCAAAAAGAAACTGAATCATTGCAAATGATCGTTTAATCACTAAAATGAATTCTTCTTCAATTACTAAAAGTTAATTAATTTAGTAAATTTAATTTATGAAATAAATTATCATATTATATATGCCGATTAAATGAATAGTAAAAGTTACATTTTTTCTATTAAAGTTATATTTCAAAATTAAACAAGTATTTTGAAAACGAAATGGCAGATAGCAAAGTTGGATGAAAATTGCCGAGAAAGTAAGAGTAATTAGTTGTTTAAGGATTTTGGGTATAAGATAATTTATTGTCTTGCAAATAATCTGTAATTTAATTTGCATTCCTGTTTTCTGATAGCAAAATGATATCTAAAATTTTACAGCTTTTTACAACGTTAAAAACTTGATTTTTTTCTAAACTCACTGAAAAATTGTTCTAAAATGAGAAATGAAATAAAGCCAATAATATATGCTTAGTACATGAAATGGAGAATATAATTATGCAATTACTATATCATTTTGAAAAAAAAATTAGTGCTAATTAGAATAATCCAAAGTATTTAAAAAATGTTTATCATTTTTTTTTCAAATATAATTTTAAAATTTATACTTCAATTCTTGCATTAAATTTGTAATAAAATAAATTGACCAAATATGTTTTTTAGGCAAGACTAATTACAAATTAGTTCTTTTTACTAAACATATTCTCAAAATTTTTGTGAAAAATTAGCATTTACTGCTATTGCGCTATATTTCTCCTTGCAGAAGTCAGCAATTTTTTGTTAGGTCAATGACTAAAGTGAAAAGTATTACCAAACAACTAAGCGCAATTTATCCATTCATAGCGCCTTTTAAATACACTTTTAACAGAATGAATTATTCGTCCTTCTTTGTCAGTACTATTCAAGTAATCCTACTAGCTTGAAATATGCGATAATTTATTTAAAGTTTCTCTTTTTTTGGTTTCTTATTTTTCAGACATATATATATATGTTTTGAATTACGCCCGTGGTATTTCACGGTTGGCATAAGTAAAAAATATTTCTGCTTATGTAACATGTGAATATAGTTTTGATTTTTGGTCAATATGAAGTACTGAATATGGTGAGTTGATATGGTAGAGAAGTCGCTGTAAGTTGAGTGATGGTGGTTACTTGATGTACTCTTATTTGATGGTATCTTCTTACAAGATGGGCTGCAAGTTTTTCAGCATGTATTTACTAATATCATTAATATTGTCATGTTTAAAATTATAAATATTGTTATTATCATTAATTTGTCGTTTTTTATCAGTGATAACAAATTTGTATCAGTAGCTTGATTGTAGTCATTGTTATATCTAGATTATTATCGTCATATTGTTTTGATAATAGTATTTTTATACATGATTATAAAAATTATTTGTGCTTATTTGTGCTTACCATTAATAAACTATTACATTTATTGAAGTTGTCTTTTACTGAACGCCGCAGTCATAAGATAAAGTACGATAAATGATTGGATCTGTACCATTCTGTCTCTGAAGAATAAAAAACTTTTGGTTGCTTCTATAAGTCAAAAAATGCCATTTCTGGTTTTTGTATTATTCACCGAATGTTGAGTTTGCATTTACTGATGGTACCATTTGTTGCTACTGTTATTGTTAATTATTGTGAGCGATAAAACCTGAATGTATTTTTGCAGTTCTTGGTTTTTTTTACAGGTGAACTGCGTAGTATGTTTATTTAAAATGACTGGAGCAGCAGATTGGAGGCCAATATCAGAAGAGTTATTGCAAGTTGTACAACTTCTTCATCATTCCCAATCGCCAGATACCCAGACGCAGCGGAATGTGCAAGAGGTTAGTTTCCCGTCGTTGTCTTATGTTTAACTCGTGATGTGATTTTGTTTTATGTAGAAATGTTAAATTTTTTCGTAATAATATTTTTTTAGCGTTTGGATGAACTCAACTCACATCCTGAGTTCTGCTGTTATCTTGTATTTATTCTCAGTGAAATGAAAAATGAGCAGGTATCAATTATTTTTCATATATAGTCTTAACAGCTGATTAATATTACTTTTATGTATTAGATGGTTTGTTATTATAATTCTAAATTTTGTAAAGTGCATAGATGTAGTGTCTTTGATTTACTATTTCGATGAATATGTCAAAGAATTGATGAGCTATTGTACTAAATCATACTAGTATTCTTTCCAGTGATGGGAATGATTATAGCTCTCTGATATTAATTTGTTGTTTTTTTATAATTCTGCTTTAGCGTTTAAACAAATATCATATTATTTTCAAAGATGTGTCATAATATTTTAAGGTGGCTAATCGCTCACTGGCTGGTTTAATTCTAAAAAATTCCATAAGATTACTTTGGGAACGGTTGCCAGAACCAGTACGTCAGTTCGTAAGAAACAAAACGCTTCAAGCTATATCTGATTCTCATCCGCTAATACGTGCTACTGTAGGAATCGTTGTCACTTCTATTGTTCTCCACGAGGGCATCTCTCAGTGGCCGACTTTGCTTCCTACATTGTGCAATATGCTCGAGAGTTCTGATATGAACTTTCAAGAGGTTCACATATACAGTAGAAGCTAGAAGTTATCAGTTTTCTGAAAAACATCGAAGTTTTTAATGATTACATTGATGTTTAGGGTGCTATGGGTGCAATACAGAAGATATGTGAAGATTCTGCAGATATGTTATCACCTCAAGAGCACTTGACTACACTTGTTCCAAAACTGTTATGTTTCTTCAGATCCCCATCACCGAAATTGAGGTAGACGATATTAGTTAAACACAATTTACGTAAATGAACTTTCCTCGATTTCTATATCATAGACATCACAAAACGAATGGTAATTTTAGGGCTTTGGCGCTGAATTCAGTAAACTGCATTTTATTAGTTCAGACAGAACCACTAAACAACATAATGGACGTGTTTTTGCAACACTTGTTTGCTTTGGCAAATGATATTGATGTAGTACGTCTACTTTAGTTTAAAAAAAGAAGTTACATGTGAGATGATAGCGCAGTAATTCAGATATTTAGAAACCAGCTTGAGCCGGAATGAAATTCAGGAATGTTTGTGTTTTGTCCTGTTGGTTCTGGATTTTGAAGACAATATGAGATTGTGTTATATGCAGCTATACTGCTTGAAATCGTTTGTGTGCTTTTATGGAGCGGCAATGAACTTCTAAACTTTTAGGAGTGAACATCTAAAGTTTTTCAAAATTGCTGGAAAGTAGCTCTTTATTCTTTTTGCTCAATTTCTGTTTCATGTACTTGTCGGGTTTTTTCTTTTTTATCTTATCATTTTTTCTTGTTATGTCAGTTAATTTTAGGACGTGCAAAAGCAGCTTTGTCGGTCGTTAACACTGCTACTCGATTCTCATTTAGATAAGTTGGCATCTCATCTTGGAAATATCGTGGAATTCATGCTTTTAAGGACGCAGGTGAGAAAAGCTTTTTCTGTTGTTATCTCTTTATTCATTGTTTTAATTCCTTGAGTTTCAAACTCCGTTTCCTGTTTTCAGGATTCAAATGAAGCAACGGCATTGGAAGCTTGTGAATTCTGGTTAGCTTTGGCAGAACATCCTCAAGAATGCAAAGAGGCTCTCTTACCGCATCTTCCAAAGTTGATACCCGTTCTCGTTTCATGTATGAAATATTCTGAGTTGGATATTGCTATCCTGAAAGTAAGGCTTGGAGACTTTATTATGGAAGTATTACTTCCAACTATATGTTGCATTCTTTTTTGTTTTTTTGTGATTCTCATTCTTTTTTCATAACCATTAATTATTAATTATAAGAAGTACTTATAGTGTGGTGTTGAAGAAGATTGTGCGGTACCGGATCGTCAGGAAGATATAAAACCACGTTTCCATCGCGCAAAAACACAAATGCAAAAGAAATCAGATACCGCTGTTGGAGAAGTACATAGTTTTATACTATTCAAGTCATCGTTTTTAAAAGAATTGTTTGTTAATTTTTGCTCTATCGTCTAACATAAGTGTTATAGATGTTATAAGCATTCAAAATGTGTTAATGATGATTAACAAGTATTTGAAATTTCAGGAAATTATTGATAGTGAAGATGGAGGAGATGATGGTTGCGTTTCAGCTGAATGGAATTTAAGTATGAGTTGATTTTATTCTTTTCTTTGCTGCTCTGCGTGCTAATTGTATTCATATTATTTCGCCACATATTGTAATTTATGCTTGTGGTAAACAGAAACTGTCACATTTTAGGGAAGTGTAGTGCTGCTTCTTTAGATGTACTTTCTAGCATATTTCATGACGACTTCTTGCCAACTTTACTACCCATATTGAAGGAAACTCTTTTCCACAGTAATTGGTTGGTAAGTTATTTCCAGTCAGTTTTGCGTTGCATTTTAAACCTTGTTTACAAACTTTAGTACTTATAATTTTAGTTTTTAGAATTGTCTATTTTTGTTCTACAAAGTGTATGATAATGCTACTTCGACCTATTCTTTATTGAAACCGCATGTTTTAGATAAAAGAAAGTGGTATATTAGCTTTGGGAGCCGTTGCAGAAGGTTGCATGAAAGGAATAACACCACATCTACCTGAACTCATACCATTTTTAATTGGATCGCTACAAGATCGAAAGGTTTCTGCTTTCTTGAATGTTCCTTAAGGTTAGATTCTCTTATTTTTTTATTATCTATTTGTGTATTTATTATTTATTTCAGGCGCTTGTAAGGTCAATCGCTTGCTGGACTTTGTCTCGATATTGTCATTATGTTGTTCATCAAGATCATGACGTGTATTTCAAAGAGCTATTAAAAGAAGTGAGGCCATTTCCAGTGTACAATCCTGATCACGATTTGCTGTCTTTTTTCAATAATTTTTGTTTAAGTCGACAAAAAATTTGTGTTTGTTGTTTATTCGTATTTATAGCAGGATAAAAAAAAAAAGTTTTCTAATTAACAATAATGCATGCAGATTTCTGTAGATATTGTATGCACTGCCAAAGTTTTATTGCATAGTATTTCACTTTTATCGAATACAATTATGGTTCAGTTACTCGCCCGTATTTTGGATAATAATAAACGAGTTCAAGAAGCAGCGTGCTCTGCATTCGCAACTCTGGAAGAAGAAGCAAACTTAGAATTAGTTCCATATTTGCCCGAAATTCTTAGTACTCTTGTTGAAGCTTTCAACAGATATCAGGTTTTTATTCATATTTTAATTTAATGTTTCGTTTCTAACATATGTTATGAAACAAACGTTTTTTATGAATTATCATTTTCATGTGTGTATACGTAGGATTTCTTCTGTTCATTCGCCATCGTCTTGCAACCGTATTTTGTTAATGTATCTTCAAGTAATCATGATTTCCTTAGACGAGCATTTATTACAATGGTTTATAGTTTTTCAAAGTCGTACATTTCAACTCGTGAATAGTTTTACAGCCAGTAATTTTAGGCGAAGAATTTGCTCATTTTGTACGATGCAGTCGGCACTCTAGCAGATAGTGTCGGTCAAAATTTAAATCAACCATATTATGTTGAAGTTAGCACCATAATACTCTATTCGTATAGCTTTAAATAGTAAAATTTTACCTGATTTATTACTATTCCTAAATTCGATTATTTTTTGTGACCATATATTTAGTCCGGCATTTGTTTAGACGATCATGAGGCCGTTAATGGCAAAATGGGATTCTTTGGGCGACGAAGACAAGGAGCTGTTTCCTTTGTTAGAATGTTTATCGTCTGTCGCTACCGCACTTCATGAGGCTTTTCTGCCATATTGTGAACCTGTTTTTCAAAGGTTTCAGAGCAGTATTTTTTACGGAGACTGATAATTGATGGTTCTATATATATATGTTAGAATCGTGATCTTTTTTAAGAATATTTTGTTCATAAAAGTGCGTATGCTGCAGGCAAATATGCTGTGCTTATTTAATTCTAAAGGTGCACAACGCTGATTGGACGATGTTTGCAACAATCTCAGCTTGCTATGGAGCGGCCAAATGAATATGACATGCCAGACAAAGATTTCCTTATCGTTGCTTTAGATCTTTTGTCAGGACTCGCTGAAGGACTTGCGGAACATATTGATTCACTTGTTGGACCCAGTCAAATTATTGCCCTCGTTTATCAGTGCTCTATGGTTTCTCTTATTCATGTTCTGAACTCTTATCTGAGCTTAAAATATTGTTCCGAAATTTTTCGAATGAACTTTGTGGATTATTTCAGGATTCCAGTGCTGAAGTACGGCAAAGTTCATTCGCTTTGCTTGGGGATTTATCGAAAGTTTGCTATCATTACATTCAGCCTCATATTAGTAAGATTTTATGATTAAATAATCTCGATTTAAAAATACCACATTTGGTGTAGTGTCTAAAGTACTTGTTGAATTATTAAACATAGTTCTGCGATATGGGTAAGCGCGAGTTATCTGTTTAAAAGTTGTTTTCAAGTAACGATTGAAATTTTTTTAATTAAGCATTTTTGCAATATCTCAGAATAAGTTGATTTTTAGATGTCTTTTTGCCAATTTTGGCGCAAAATATGGGTTCTGAATCGATATCTGTTTGCAATAATTCAATCTGGGCAATTGGAGAAATAGCAATGAAGATGGGTGAAGGCATGCGTCCACATGTCTTAGGGTTTATGCCGGCTTTAATAATTGTGATGAATAGAGAAAAAGGACCGAGGACTCTACTGGAAAATACAGGCAATTTTTTGAATTTGAAGTTGTATTTTTCTGTGAAAGTCTGTTTTGCTGTAACAGTTCGTTTTTATTCCAATGATTCTGTTTTCGATTATACTGATCTTCACTCGAAATATTAAGAAATCTGATTTTTTTAAATCTACTTTTCAGCTATAACTCTTGGTCGCTTGGGTATTGACTGTGGTAATGAGGTAGCACCATTTTTACCTCAATTTATTCGTCCATGGTGTTTATCATTACGAAATATACGCGACAATAAAGAAAAAGAGAGTGCTTTTAGAGGTCTTTGTAACATGATAAGTCTCAATCCGGCTGGAGTCCTCGCGGTATTAGTTTGTCCTCTTCAACAGTTCATTCAATTTTGTCAGTAGAAAATTCTTTTAAAAAAGTATTTGGAATGTGAAAATTGTGGAAGACAATTTTCATTTAATCCCATAAAATTACATTCAAGAAGTAAATCTTTTTTTTCCTAGGAATTCATTTTTTTGTGTGATGCCATAGCGTCGTGGAACAATCCTGAACCCGATTTGAAATTGATGTTTTCAAGAGTGTGTTTGCATCATTTTGTACATTTAAATAAAGAAAATAACGATTTATATATATATTCTTTTTAAAATTGTCATTTATTGTATGGTTTTCTATTTTACTAACTCTCTCATTTATAAATCCAGTTTCTTATCATTGTTATCAGCAATGAACATTTTTTCGTAGATTATCTGTTTACATTATATAACAGGTTCACGAGTCATAAAAAATCATTAATTAGTTGTTTTTTTCAGATCTTACATGGCTTCCGGGAGCAAGTTGGTGACTTGAATTGGACAGCCTTCACATCACAATTTCCTCCTCCTTTGAAACACCGATTAGCAGTTCAGTACGACGTGTAATGAAAATGTGGTAATTGCCGGTTCGGTTGACGTTCATATTTTTCGTATGATAATTTGTAATCGTTATAATTGTTATTATTTTTTGTCCGTCCTGCTATTCATAGTTTATTATTAAAATATATTGTTTATTTAATTAATAAGCTTACATTTTACTTTTTGAATATTTTTTTCGCACTTTTTTATCAGCCTTTTACTGAATCAGGTCTTAAGTGTTATTTCATGTCACACAATCGATCCATATTTCCACATTTTTGTGGTTTGTGACAAAGTTCAACTTATTAAAAATAAGCATTTGTTTTAGCGACTGTTCTCTTGGCACAACTATATAAATTGTCTTTTAGTCTTATGTTCTTTGTTTTTTCTGTTTTTTAGTTGGTTTTAAAAAGTTATTTCGTTTATTTATTTTTGTCCTATGTCATTGATTTATTTAATGCTTTATTTTACGAAGTATTTACTTGCTATTTTATTTTTTTATCTCAGTACTATTTATATGGGGCTCTTATGTAACAGTAAATATTTTCAAAGACATAGGTGTGTTCGAACACTATGCAAAGGTATAAATCTATGAAAATGGCATTGATTTCAGTGCATTTTCTAGATGAAAAATGCAGTAAATCTTGAAATCAGAAATAACATCATCCACGTTGAACAAACAGTTAGTTTTTCAGTTTGCTGTATCTATTTTTTGGGTATATTTTCGTACAAAATTCATTATTTAGATTTTTGTGATACATTTCAAGATTTAATGGCTCATTTTTCCGTAGATCCTTAAAGAAGCCCTCAATTTTCGTATGCGTGAGTACCAATGTAACTAACAAATTCCGATTTTCATGTTTTTAACATTTTATAATGTGTTTTAGATATTTTATATTTTAGTGAATTGTTTTACAGTAGCTTTTTTACTATACGAGTATATATTTTTATATCATAAGCTTAGAATTATCAATTCATAACAAGTCATGTTCGGCTGTACCTTGGTGGAATTTACTTTAGCAGCATTTGGATTTGATTGGTTCAAGATTTTCAGGATATTGAGCAATTCGAATCAGGATGAAAAATTGTAAGAAATTTTTATTATGCTAATTTGCAATGTCTGCTAGAGTACGTCATTTCTTGCATTCAGGTTATTTTGTGATACTGTTGTTTTTGACTGTTGCTTTCCTTCTTTTCAGCACTTTCATGCCGAATTTACGTGTACTAGTCATTATGAGCCTCACTTATATGTCTTTGTATAATCACTATCTTTTTTTTTCTGTGCGTGTGAGTTTTTTTCTTCTGGTTTTTTCTCATTTTTTGTTTTATTCCTTATTTTTAGTATTTTTTTTGCTTGCTCTCTTCTGTTGCATTTAATTGCGACAGTTCATTGATTTCTATCATTACTATATTAGAGTAATGGGTTGTAAAAACAGGTCGACGACATGAAGTGTTATGTAAAAAAGTTATTCTTGCTTGAAAAGATATACTTGGATAATAGTATAATAAACCCTTCAGTAAGTTGTTTCTTTATCATTAATATTAATTTTTTACATTCGCAGTTCCGTTTGCAGAACTAAATATGGCAAGGTATGCTTTCTTCTTGTAGTTTGTATTTCTTATTTAGACTCGATTACTGTAGACAGCGACATGAAACTGTTTTCAAATGTCAAAAAATTTGGTCGAATTTCGGTAGAACTATAAGGCTGACCCTGTTGATGCCTTCAAGAAATGTGTTTTTATACATAAGAAGTAGTTCTAGAGGTTATTGCAATCTTTACATGATCATAACGAAGTTTAGCATGACTCTTAATTAAAGTAGTGGTAGTGAATTGATTCACTGCTTAAGGTGCAATATTATTTTATATATAGGGGTCGTAGCCTTGTAGTTTAAAAAGAGTGTTTTCCATTTGTAAAATTTTATCAATAGTTCTTAATTCGAACACGATGATGATTGGTATTATTGCAGATAGTTCTTAGGTTTTTGAAAATTTTCTAACTAGGAGTAATAATAGTTCTGCAGGCTGGACTACGGTTTTCCTAGGAGCTTGTTTCTACTTTGTCTTTCATTAATTTTGGAAAATTCTTTGATTGTTTTTATTGTGTTTGATAAATGTTTAAAGCTTTTTGTTTTGTTAAATTGCCAAATTTCACTATGATACTCATCGAAAATATTTGTTTAGCCTTTTCACTTCAAAATTTTGACTTTTAATTTTTTTCAATGTTTTAGTTAGCAGTGAAAAATAACATGATTAAACCTTTCATATCACTTTTAGCAGTGTACATTTTTGTAGAATTTTGAAGTGCACTATATTATAATTGTGAAAATAGAAAGGTGTTGGCCTACGTATTACCTCATTGTAAAGCATCGTTTAGAACAGTGCTGTTTTTGTTTGTCTGAATTCCAGTTTAATCTGCAAATCACAATTCTGGATTTCTGGGTAGCTATCTATTTGTGTTGTGCTGAAATTCAAATTTTACTTGCATTTGAGCACATATTATATTTTGAAGCAAAGTATTCATATTAATTGTATCTTAATGTGATTTTTTTTTTACTACAAGTAATGTTTCAGTACTTCTGGTTTGTTGCATTTTGTTCAAGTTCAAGAATGGTTTCAGAGGAAGTAGACGTTACATCTTCCAGACAGGCTTTCTACAGAACGATTTATCGTCAGTGCTTTTCCCCTGATGGTTAGATTCTTAAGTTCTTGATCTTACGTTTTTCAGTGAGTAAATAAAGGGTTTTACTGAGATTTCACTTAAAAACTTGCTAACAGCAAAATTTAGATATTGAAAAAGAAAAGTATGAAAGATTGCAGCAAGTAGTAATAAAGTACTAATTTGATCATAGTATTTATTAATTACATGTATATGGTGGTAGTTATTGCTTTCACTTCTTACTAAGCTCTAGTGTCAACCATTTTCAATATGTGTCAAATTTTATGAATTTTGATTGAAATATAATGTGCACTTCTAGTTAAAAATAAATGTGATTGTAAATAAAGAATTTTAAAATATTTTGTTACTATGTATTGAATGAAGTAGATTTCAGGCGACTGGTTAGTAGCAGTAGATTCCTTGGCTTATTTATATCTTTTCGACTTTCGTAAAGCATGTGAACCGGATGTGACTGGTGATAATCGATTATTTAGAAGTCGAAAAAAGTTAACTGAAGCAGTTTTTGCATTAACTTCAGTTCAAACAAAACTAGTTTGCGGTGATGCAGTGGGTCGATTAACTATTTATGATTGGGAAGATATAATTCAGTGTGATGAATCTCACAAACTTGTACCCACATGCCAGTTTTTTGGTTTTAAGACAGATTTATTAATTGGTCCGAATGAAATAAATGCGACAACATGTATTGATAATAGTTTTATCTTATACGCCGGTTCTGGTGACAATGCGATTCGTTTGACGGATATCGAGCGCGCAGATCAAGTCTGTTTTATTGAACATAACTATTTTAATAATTATGCTTATGTTCTCATTTGTATAGGGCAATTTTAGAGAGATATCTTGACGAGTTTGTCTACTGTTATTCAAATAAGTGTTGTGTATCTGATTGAAAATTTTTGATTCTACCAAAATTGTTCCTGCATATTTAACCATATTTTTTTATTTCAGGTCATTTCAACTTTTAAAGGACATGCGAAGTATGTAAACGAATTAGCAGTTCATTCACCACATGTGTTTTTAAGTTCATCAGAAGATGGTACAGTTCGTCTTTGGGATGTTCGTTCTGAAGATATTTGTGTTTTTGATGTAGCATCACATAGAAAACTGAGACGAAGAAACTGTGGCATAGGAGTCTGTGCTCTAGATGCTGGCGACGAATTTCTGGTACGTGTTTGGCAAATATTTAGATGTTATAACCAGTCCAGGATATAAAATGGAAATGAGAGTCTATTTACTACTGGGCAGCTTTAATGTTCTCGATAACGAAAGTATTTCATCTATGTTATAATAACTATCATTTGTTTTCGCTTTAGTTTTCTTCATCATAGATTTGTCGCTTATTTCTGGTGTGTCAACTTAATGTAGTATTTAGTAATTTGAGGTATTACTTATATTTTCATTTTCAAATGTTAAGCGGTATATATTGATATAAAGTGTAAAAATATATTCTGCGCCTTGAAATAAAACTAACATTATGAAGACAAATTAATAGAATTTTCGCTTCTTTTATCCCTTAACTGCATGGAACGGAATAACTGAAGTTTTTTTACTTCCTAATAAATTATAATTAGTTCTATTCCTTAACACACAAATTTCTAGATTTGTGGTGGTGACATGGAAATCGCTATGTGGCACATCAGTTCACGTTCCCTTGCCCAGCGTCTGACTTATGAAGATCGTTCTATTAAGAGGTACACTGTTGCTAAAATGGGTTGTGATAGAATGTTTGTAGGAGGATCTTCTTCAAGATTATTGCAGGTATGTGTTATGAAATTAATTGGCATAGAATATTTTTCTGTAAAAAATACTTCTAATGCTTAATTAAGCATAGTGAAGAAATTTGTTACAAGTTCATTTTTTCAAATAATTATAAAGTTTATGCTAGAGAAGTATTGCTTTCATTTATTGACCAGTTTCAAAGTTTCTAGGTTGATATACAATAGTTTGTCAGGAATATATTACCCAAATTGTTTTTCCAAGTTGATGTTATCAAGTCTTCAGTTGATTACTCTTCGAACAGGCCTCTGGGTTATTAAGGTCACGACAATTTTCAAGATATATTTCGGATTTTTCAGTTTGACTACATGGGGCAATATTTGACGTCAGTACGAACATCACTTCGGAATATTTATTCAGTGGAATGTAATTCCTCGCGATCAAATGAAATGACGACAGCTGCTGGCGACTCTTCCTTGATCAATGTTTTTTTCAATTCAGGCTATGTTTCTTTATGCCTCTCTACCGACTGAAAATTAGCTTTTCAGCAAATTGCCTTTCCTAATTATTGTAGTATTTGTTTATTTCTAAAGCTATATATATTTTGCTGGAATGAAGATGTTCTAACAATTTCTCATACAAGACGTCGAAGATTTGTAGTTTGTTTATCTTTTATTTACTGAATTATAGCAAATAAGAATATAATTTTTCATCTTGGAGAAACATACTACAGTTTATGCATGTATTGAACTGAATACTTCATAGGAATTTTTGTGAACATTTCAGATTTAGGTCATTTCTTTCATCATTATTATTATTCAGGCTTTCGTTTAGATCTCTCATTTCATCTTGCGACTTCCTATGGCATTTAATATTAGACAGCAGAAATATTTTACTGCTAACAGTCAGAAGAGAATTGCATGAAGGAGAATATTTGTTTGATTATATTACAGAAAAAAAAATTCACAATTTTCACAAGGCACTATTGAACTAAAGAGCTTACAATATATTGGATCTAAGAAACCCTTAATCTTAATTTTTTCGTTGTATGCAACTTGGATGCATATTCATTTGAAGATAATGTGTAATGTGTCGGAACTGTTACGCTTTCTGTATTGGAAACGTCGTAAATTTGCCACACTTTTTGTGTCGTATTTAACGTTTGCTTCAGGATTTTTGAAAACTTCTCAATGTTTCAAAAGCTTTGATTGTCTTGCTGTTTTTTTTACTAACTATATCACTTTATTTAGAAAGCAAGTCAAAGGTAGATTAATAAGAATTTTATCAAATGTAATGCTAAAAAGTTGTTGATTGCTTTATTCATTTTAATGGCGTGATTGCTGGCCTTTTATTGTTGAAAGCGGTGCTGAAATAAAAAGACTTTGAACGAGAAGTTTAAATGCTTTATGATTGAGACTTTGCAGCTGAAAATTTAGTAAAAGAAATATACTCATTCGTGTATCACGTACTTTCTTTTTCTTGTTAATTTGTACATTCAACTAAATGCGTAAGCATTACATTGATTTACAGTACAGTGACTTTAGTTGTTTATACCATGTAATACTATTCTTTTGAATTGTATTCTGGATTTATTTCTTGTAGTATTAATAAAAGATCTGTTGAAAAGTGATACTTACAATCAAAGAATTATCCTCGCTACATTTAAACAAGTAAGGCGAATGAAAATTGAAGTCTTGCATTGTGGCCATAGGTCAGATAGATGTTTAAGAATATTGGAAGTGACTGAAATAAAGCCATTTTTAATACTCGTGGGAATCTAGCTGGCTTTTTGTTAAGAATCTACAGACTTGCTTATCAGTGCTTCTGTTAATAACTCCATTTATAATGGTAAATTCTATATTCTCATAAAGTCTCGTATTCGAGGTTTTAAAAATTATTTTAGCTCGAGTTTCGGCGAATCATTAAATGTTAAAGACTTATTTGCTTGAAGCAGTTGTGATTTTCAAGGAAAATTTCAGCCTTTTTCTTTGTTTACTATTCCTTCTGAAAGAATTAGTTTAAATTAATTTTACCAGAAGGGATAAACTGATTAAATAAATAATAGAATTAATGTTAACGAATACCGAGTGAAACAATACACCTTTACTAACGATTTTTCTTAACATCAGTCATTCTAATAATTTATAAGTGTAGAAGAAATCTCAAGTGCTCGCAAAGAAGATAATTCTGTGGCAAAAATATTAAAAGCAGTGAAGATGAAGTATTTTAGTATTTAATTATATTAGATATTTTAAGTTTTATTTGTATATTAAAATGAGCAATTGATGAATAATTTCTCAATTACTATGTTATAACTTGAAAAGTTTGACTTCGTAGTGAACACAAATAATCTGACTCACAAGTTTAGCAGGCAGTAAAATAATGAAATGAATAATCATAAGCTATTCTTAATTTAAGATATTTTTATCGCTCGATTGACAGCAATATCTTTTTATCTGTATGATTATTATTGACATTGCAATTGTAAAAAATCTTACATGCAAAAGACAGCAAGTAATAGACTTTTTGAAAAACTATGAGAGTTTGATTACTCGAATAAAACAAAATTGAAGAAAAAAGATAATAAAATATGGATTATTTGCAGTTAACTGTTTTCTTATAATGATTTTCTAATTTAAGTTTACAAGCAATAATGATTATTCGATGAAGTACTCAAATGTATTTATTGCTGTAATTAGTAATTCGAAACCAATAATTTGATTACCAGAGTAATAGAATGCAAAACCAAGAATTAAAAAATTATTACCCGTATATCAATGCATTATTGCTATAGCAAGCTTTCTTTATTAATTTTATTGTTTTGTTTTGAAAATATAAAATATTGCACTGATAAAATTAAATAAAAATTCATGATAGAAATAAGTAATGAATGCAAATTTAAATAAATATGGATATATTAATACATGAGTTATAAAATGTCTTATCAAAATTATATAAGAAAAGTATGGAAGTAAAGTTACTCTCAGATATGAATTCAAGAATATCTAGTTTTCTTTACTTATACATTTTGTTTTGTTGACAGAATTAATGGTTTTATTTGTACTTAGTACTTTGTAGCAGTTTACTTTAAATCTTTACTGTCACTTAAATGAGTGGTAGTGATGAAAGTTGCAAAAAGATATATGGCGCAAAAATAATTCCTTATGTAAACAACTCAATGCAAGTCATACTAGTTTGAATTCTACTCAATATATAATTTAAAGTCAAGTGATGAATTTCAAATATCGACACACATTACTCCACACTTTACTTATTCAGATATTTCTTGTAAATACCAATTTCATGTGAGAAATTTATCACCATTTCAGAACTCATATACTGCTGCTATACATGAAATATTGTGTTTGCGAGTTTTTCATCGTTGCTTGCGTGTAAAAAATCGAAAAACTAACCACAATTTTTCTCAAAAATAATGCTAAAGCATTGGAGAAAGTTTTTTGAATGCTAAAATTTTACTCAAAACATTGTCTTAAAAAAAGAAATGGAAATTTTTGGTTACGGTAATTAATTGCACATTTAAAGATAAACCCAGAACTGTATTAGTGTCTCCATAAGCACCCTTACCCACCTACCCTATACTTCAATCTTTGCAATCATACAGCACTGAAAAAGAAACTTTGTGTAAATTTTTCAGAAATTGGATGAAATTAGCATTAATTATGGATTTAAATGTCTCAATTGTTACACTTGTGTTTTTTGTATTTGTCTCAATTTATCTAAGCAATGCTCAAATCGCGTACCAAACTGGCACAGGATGCGTAATTACAGTATGCATAGCTTTTTTAATTTTTTTCCTAATTTAATAAATATCTTTTAATACTAAAATATACTTACTTAGTTTCTATTTAATTGATGTTTATAAAAATTAAAAGGTCAAAACTGAAAAAAGAAATTGTCTCTTACTCAAAATTATTGAGCAATCTGAAATTAAGTAATGATTAAAGTTATAGATTAGAAAGCATAGTTAGTAATTAGCAATAATTTTAGTGAGAAAATCAAGATACAAAAACAAATAAGCATGGCATTATTTTGACACTTTTTATGCTATGTAATTTTTACAGGGTGGAAAGTTTTACTCGCATGGTCGTTTTATTAGAAATTTAACTAACGCTGAAATTAGCCAAGTTGAACGTTATAAGAAGCAAATGGCTGAATTTCAAAGAGTTTGTTAAAATTTTCAACATATATTTAAATGAAATTTTTTAATTATCAAAAAAAAGATTTTAATAGATTCATTAACCTTATATATTACATAGAAAGTTCTGCAAACTCTGAACAAAGGATTTGGAAAGTCAGAAAATGATACATTATCTTTGCCACAAAATACTTCATTTAATTCACTTGACTTATCTCAACGACCTGTAATACCTTCCTTCTGTTACGGCAAAGATGCCATACTTTACGTTTTTTCTGGATGTTCCGTTCAGGTGAATCTGTGTTCAATTATTGTAATTGAGTATTAATTTTTATTCGTGCAAATAATTCCACTCTTTAATTATCTTTACTTTGCAATATTTATTAAGTAAATTGCTTAATAGTTACTTAATATGATAGGAATGCATTAAAATAGATGAATGTTGACGTAACTTAATTTTAGAATTACAAATTATATGTCGGTCAAGAATTTGTTCGGGATGTGACATCATTGGAACGCATAGAATTAGAAAAATATGCAGAGGAATTTATCAACATGTCACGTATGAATCAACAAGTGAATTATTTGCCAAACCAATTTAATTTTAACACATCAGAATCTAGCTTTTTTAGCAAATTCAGGCTGATCACCAAGCATATGACTGAAAGGCATATGACCTAATATAAAATATTCTTAAAATTACTAATTTTCCCGTTGTTTTCAATGAATTGTAATTTAAATATGTAAACTCATATGTTTAGGATGTAAATTCCATACCAGATGCAAAAACACCACCGACAACAATAGCACCACCTACCATTCCACCAAGTCTCGATTTCTGCTCTGAACTCTAATCAAATTTTGGATTATGCTTTTTGTTTTTTTGAACTTAAAAGATGCTGCATTAAAATATAAAGACTATTTTTTCCATACATGGCATTACATGTGAGCAATTTTTAACTTTTTGTATACTTTCTTAACCTTGATTGAAAATAACGAGTATTAAATCTGTATCTACCATACTTGAATGCTATTATTATGACTTAGAAAGAAACAGATGAATGAATATTGATAGGGAACCTGTAATAGATCAAATATGTATCTGACTTACTTTATGAACATTTGCTAGCCATAAGCAGCAAATAAAAATATTAACGAATCGTCAAAATAATAGTAATAATATTTTGAATATTAAGTATTTTCCGAATGTTCTGTAGTTAGATTTACCCACGAAATGTGGAAAAATCGGGTTTGAAGAAGTTATGCGAAGTAGCAGTAGCAGCAAGGAATAGGAAGAATATTCATTTATATTTAATGTAAAATGATAAATTATTCAAATTTGTAATTAAATAATTAATTTCAAACAAAATTATCAGTATATGAAATGCGGGAGAACAGAAATAATAATTTTATGTTTGCTCATATCCAAGTAAGTGCAGCAATAAATTGCTGTATCGTTGCAAAGAAAGAATAAGCTAAGAATGAAATGATTGGATTATTTAGATATGAAATTCCCTGCGATAATTTTTGTAGGAATCTTGCAAACATATTGAGAATATAAAATTGAGATTACCCTAAAGAAAGATTTTATTTACTTGTCTGAAAAGAAATTTTCTGATCAAGAGTGACCCCCCAAGCATAAAGAAATGACAATATATGGCTGCTTTAAGAAAGCATGCAAAGTTAACAAATGTAACCCAAAATAAGAAATCAATTCTGAAGGATCATCGAAAACTGCTGGTCAAACGTGCACTTCTACTTTTTATTCAAAACAACTATCAAAATGAATTACTCATTATTTATTTTTAAATGCTAAATTTTTATTTCATATTTATCTTATTTATGCAAATGTTAATCAAATTATATTTTGCTTTTTGCTGAAAACATTGATATGTGTGGAAAAGCATATGATAATAATGCTTTCACAGCTTCAACAAGGAGAGAAGATTGCAGTTGATCTATAATTCATAATAATGAAAAAATTTAGAAGTTTAGTGTTGCATTTACATCGCAGCAATCGTTCCTCAATAATAACAACTAAATGCTTTAAAAATGATAGTTTTTAATTTTAATTATTAATAAAAATATTTGTCATTTTGGTATAGTTTTTAGATGATTTAGTTCGGTGTAATAATATTCTTTGCACATGAAAAATTCCGTGCTAAGCAAGAATCATTGTTTAACTCAATAAATTGTCCATTTATTGAAAATCCTTTTTGCAAAGGATAATTACAAATAATGAAAAATATGTAGTATGGCTAAACATTATACGCTTAACAGTAAATTTTCAACAAGTTTGTTTTTCTACATCGATACATTTTATGTTCATTTTTCTGCTGAGAAAGCCAAGAGAAGAATTCTTCGTTGCCAATTCAGTGTTTTCAGCTCGTTTATTCTCAATATTTTTCGACCAAATTGCACCAATTTTGCACAAAATAACGAAGAATATAAAACTGAAAACTTTTATTTTTATATATATTTTCATTTTGCATTAAATTAATATCCTACTGTTTTTATTTACAAAATTGAAAGCTTTATATTGAATGCATTGCTTTTTCTATTAAATATGAGAAAACCTGAAAAGGATAATTGCAGCTGTCCAAAGTATGAGGTATACAGGTGGTCGAGTAATTAAAAAACCAATTAATGCCAAAATTTCTAAAATATACACAAATGAAGCAAGAACAAGACGGTGAAAATGTGAGGCAATTAATGATCCGAGAGGAGCGCAAATGACGACAACAGGAACTGAAATTATTAGAGTAAGCAAGTCAATCTTTTGAAGTACAATAAATGAAAAGAAAAAAAACTTATGGATTAGCTTAATTTAAATCAAAATTCGAACTTTGACCTTCAAATAAATAACTTTTGTTTATTTGTTTTTTTATTAATAAGAAGTAGTGCATTGCTTATTAAGAGAAAAAGTGAGCAAATACTAATTTTCATACCTGAAACTTGAAAATATTGCCAAGCAAGCTCTGAGATATCAGTCATGATTAACTGACGCCAGAAGAATCCAACGCACGTATTGACTGCCATTAATATAACCGATGTTGGTGTTGCTACTTTTTCACTAACTCGAAACAGCAGTGTTAAAATTGAAAATGAGCAAATATCAACTCCAGAACCAGCGAAACTTGAACATAATCCTAGAATAGAAGAATTTGAAATATATGAAAAACGAAAGTAAGATATGATACGACAAGCAAGAAGTTTTCTTTCTTAACTTGTAAGCAGTGACTCTTAAACTTCGGTCCATTGAAAAAAATTTATTTACTTATTTATTTGTCAATTTATTTAGTCATCTCAGTAATAATTCAGAGGTTTTGCAATGAAAAAACAAAGTTATAAATTATCTTCAGAATTACTCTTATTTCATTTTTTCTATTAAAATTTCATCTAAAATCATTAGAGTTTGTAAGAGTTTTCTTTGTATTAACTTTTAGAAGATAAATTGCAACACCGAGTTACGTTGCCAGTGAGTGAATATTGAAAGTTACTGCTTTGTCTTGATGTCGTTTAAGCTAAAGAATTTAAAATAGAAAACATGACATTAACTATTACCTCCAACTATTCCAGTAGTAAGTAAAATTATTACTTTGATAGTATTCATTTCTGGAATTGCTGTATAAGTTTTACGCTTCTTTTGCGAATTTAATATAAACAATGCTAATGCGAATGAAAACCAAATCGATACAAACAGCATTTTTTTCTGTTGACCTTTAACATTTTAGAATAACTGAATTTTCATAGTGAAAAGATAAAATTCAATCAATCTTTTTTTTTTGTGAACGAATACAAGTTTTGTTTTTGTATAATTTTGATTTAAAATAATCCTTATAATGAACTAAAGTTATGAAGATTATCAAAAATTTTTGAATATTTTTTCTTTACTAAAATTTTATTGGATGTTCAAAGTTTTCGCATTTAAAATGATGGAGTTTTTTAACAAATATTTATTGGAAATTTGGATTACACATACCATCAAGCAGATTATCAACCCACTGTAAACCAAAAATTATTCCAGCGGTTGCACCAATGGAACAAATAATAATGGAATGCCATTCAATAGCGATTTTCATCCAAATTATAGTAAATGCCGCAGATGTCATACCTTTTATTTCATTACATAATTGCATTTGAATTGATATCAAAAATTCTGTTAAAGAGTAGAATTTTCATAGTATGCGTTTTCGTGTGAAAAACTTTCATTATTTTAGCTCACTTAAAATTTTTAAATCTCATTTAATCAATGATTTTTAGTAGTAATGAATTTTGATTTGCAGAAAATTTCTCAGAAATCCAAACCACAAGACTGTATCATCAGTGAAAAGTCACGAGCAACAGTTGCGCCTATTTGAAGAGCTAATGTCATTACTGGAAATGCTACTGCGCCTCCTCCTTCGGACGTTGCACATAAAAATTTATACTTTTTAAAATAAATCACTGTTTATTTATTTAGTGTATTAATTTTGCTGAAAAACAACACAACATTAAAACATTCAACAAAATTAGTGTTAATAAAATATAATGCATAAAAATGCAAATTAAATGACTTTTTTTTCTAATAAAAACATTCAAATCAATGATTTCAAATCAAAGCAAATTATTGCTTGAAATATATTTCAGAACTGAAATAAATTACAAAAAATAAACTATATTTTCTTCAATATTGTAAGTGGCACAAGAAATTTTTATGCTCAATTAATTTCTGTATAGTGTTAATAATTATAAAATTTACCTGCAACAGTTGCACCTAAAATCATCGTAAGAGCAAGTTCATATCGTGTTGGGTACAGTGATAGAGTGTTATATTTGACTGCTAAAGTCAACCAAATAAGTTCCATTAAGCAAATCGGGATCAAAAATCCAATATATTTACGATATCTTTCTAATAGCGATTTTTCTTCACTAACGGATGACTCGTTTTGTCCATCAGATCGTGGCAAATCATTTTCATCAAGTTGCTGTCCTATTATTGGTTATCAAACCAAGTATAATTTGCAGTGAATTCATTGACATGACACTGAATTTATAAAGAAAAAATCAAACTACTAGAAATTTATAATTATAAAGAATAAAATAAATTACGATAATGCAATATAAACTCATTTATTATAAACATGAATAGCAACGATGAAATACTTGGTAACACTTAAATTCCATTTTAAAATATGGCATTTTTTTTGTAGAATAATTCAATTTAAATATTTATCAACCGCAGTCTTGAAGAAAATAATCTTAATTATGTATATTTTTTAATACCATCATTGCACGAAGTCACCAGTTTTCTATAAATAGATTATATTTTTCTCAGTGTAGTTAGTTTAATCATTCTCCCAGTACACGATTAATAATTAATATTATTGAAGTTCTTGATATGCTATCAGATTAATGGAACGTACCTTCGCAGAAGTATTTCTTCACGAATTCTTTCAATTTATGTTTCTTTGCTGACGAAAATGACGTGTTACCAGTTGGTTCTGATATGGATTTCATTAAGCACCTACAAATACACTAAAAATTCATTCATAAGCATCGATTCATGATAAGCATAAAATAAAAATACAAATGCTTAAAATCCAAATTTTTTCGAACTATTGTCAAACTTATGCAAATTAACTGTGATATCTGCGTTCAATCCAGAAAAAATGTGATTAGCATTTCAATGTAGGAGTAACGTACACATAGACAAGCGTATAAATCTATATGTAAATATGTTTTTTATTCTATTTTAAATGAATGAATCAATGGCATTTTGTGAAGTCTGAAAATACATTGTTGTCAATTGTGTTTTGATGCCTGTTGCTCAAAGGTACCTGATACCAAATGGAACTAAAAATTTGTTTGTCTTCACTTCATTTCTTTATTATTACACCGAATTTGGATTTCGCTGCATCTTGGTGCTAGCTAATATATATATTTCTCATTTGTAAAAAAACTATGTATATATAAATAGTTGAAAACCAAACTTTTCAATTTAAGAAAGCAATTTTTGCATCAAAACCTAAGTACTTCATAATCTTTTGAGCATAAGAATTGATTGCTGTAGAAATAAATTGGATTTGATTATAATTAAAGAAGTTTTAGCGATATTCATAGACAAAAAGTTAGTGGATATCATGATTCTTTACAAATAAAAAAGAATTAAGAGCAGATTGGATTAGCGCTTTTCTTTGGTTATGACACAAAAAAATCAAGTAGATAAATCGCTTGAGTATATTAGTTAAGCTAAAAATCAGATCTGTAGATAACTAAGTTTTTTAGAAGTCGAAGTGATTTTAAAATTGAAAATGGTTAATTTTTTTACTTTGCATCAATTTAAGAATTAATAGAATGTTTTTAAAAACCACTGCCGATACTTTTAAATTTTAAATAATATAATGATTAGCATCCTTACTTCTTCAATTCTGAATATGCTCAACGTATTCTATTCATTTTTAAGTAAAGAAACCACACTAAAGCAATAAAAATTCAAGTCAAAATTGATTGAAAGCAATGAAAATTTTGAGTTTTTCAGTACTTTTTGTTTTTAAATGTTTTTATAATTAACAGCAGTCAGAAAGTAACTCAAAAATATAAGAAATGCTAATTTCTACTTTAAAAATTGTTTCACTTTTACAAAGTAGTCAGTGAAACAAAGATGACTGTTTAATTCATTAAAAAATAAATTTCGCTAGTGGAAGTCATCGGTCAAAACAACAGTTATATTTTTTACCAAAACAATATCTTAAAATTTTTGATAAAAAATTTAGTAAGACAATTTATAAACGAATGTCATTGAAGACTTGCTGAAACTCGGCAGCCTGCTTTCAACCGAAACTTTTACAATCTAAAAATTATTCTTTATACAGCAATTTAGATTGAACTAAATATTAAAACTTTATTTATTTTAAGCTGAAACGATTACATGAATTAACTAACATCTTTGTAATTTGAAAAAATTTTTTTATAAAAATGTTCTCTATCGTGTTTTTTGCTTTTAATATGTTCCATTTGAAGAAAAAAGAAACTTTAATTTTTCGTGCAACAGAATATGTATCTACAACATTCCATACACGGAAATATAGTCTGATGCTTGCACCATTAGTAATTTAGAAGTAAGAGCAAAAGCTTATCGGAGTAATCAATACATTCACATACTTTAGTGAAGATATGTAGCTGATAAGCACGCACTTATAATCATTACAATAAAAGCTTGAAAAGAGACTATTTTCGACTGCAAATGGGACTAGTATTCTTACGATGATGCAGTTCCCTGCCCGAACCTCATTCTTCTCTCATTTTTAGGATTGACTTTTGCATATTTTTTTCAAATTTGGTCTTCTAAGTTTACTTACAACAATTAATTGCCTGTAATATGAATTAACAAACTTTTTCGTAATTTTTTTTTTCATAATTATTCTTAACTTAATCGTCAAGAAGAAACGAGCACTTCAGTACTTTACATGAATTATCACTGATTGAACTTTGCAATTGAAGAAATCCTATTTTTCATCTATAAATCATAAATTATGACATGTAAGGGAAGATAATAAGTCGAAAAAGGGCCTCATTCATAGGCTAGAATTCGTTGATGCAATTTGTATTTCGATTATTTCATCAGGCAAAATCTAGCCCATGTATAGAGGATCCGATAAAACGTCGAAGTGTATACATTTTCTTTAAACTTTATCAATTTTTGCTTAAACAATCATATCGAATTTGTTACATTTCACATTTTTATTGCAAATGCATTTGCTTGCTCTTGCACATTCTTTAGCATTTCAAGCATTTTTTTGTTGTTGATAAATTTGTATTTTAATAAAATTTTCATCTTTATGTAGACAAATTTCAATTTAATGAGTATTTAAGTTAATTTTAAATACAAATTTATTCATTTCAGTTCATCATTGCTCTAATTTTGCACTAAATTTATGATTTCGTTAAACAAATTTTTGCTTTTTATTATTAGGATCGATTGTGACAAGTGACAAAATTTTTAGCAAGAAATAATTGCTGAAAATTATGAAAAGATAACGTCGTATAATAAAGTTTATTTCTTTGCAAATAACGGATTTAAATTTTAAAATAAGCAGAGAAAATTTGTTGCATTTTGCAGTTCACTGCTTTTATGAAATTTAAAAATTTATTGTGTAAACAATTAAACATTAATTCAAGTTCGAACAAATTAATTGTATTTGCTTATTAATTTATTACGTGAGACGAAAACTAATTTTATATTCAAAAACTTTTCTATCAAAAGTCATTTTTATTTAGCTTGTAAACTTTTGCATAAAAAACATCACTTTTTGGCATTTAAACTTGTTATATTTATTATAGCTTAGTATAGTTTCTCTATACACAAAATCCATTATTTTTCTTACAAAAATAAAAAATAATCATGCGGTTTTCAGAAACATTCATGATGACTTTACTATACTTTTCACCTTGAGCATTTTGACTGAATGCAACTAAATAGTCTTCTTATCTATCTAGTTTTTTTGATAATTTTGAAGTTTTCTTTGATATTAGCTAAAATTCATCATAACTTGGGAAACGATCAACATTTTTGTTCTCAGATACTTAAAATTATTTTCAGTATGTTAGTATGGGTAACGATCATGTTTTATTTTAAAGAATAATGGATTTTGTATTCATTTCTGATCTATTTCAATTCTCATGATCAAATTTTAACTGGACGATAAAAAGTTATTATGTTACTTGTGATGATAATTATTGTAATCTATAATGGATACGATCATTTACTCTATTTTTGTTATTTAATGATTACTTCTCATTTTATTCCTTCAAGTTTCTTTGTCTTATCAATGAATTACAGAGAAATCAAAAGTTTAAATTCCAACATAACCACTTACTTTTTTTCACTATGAAAAAATAAAGTTTTAGTCCACTTTACACTTATATTCGATTTGGACTATTCATTTTCTATCATAACTTTTCGATATTCTTGTCGGTTGATTTTAGTTTCCTAATGTTGTATTCTTCGCTTTTTATCTTTGGATTTTTACAATTTTATCAATGAACAATTATAATTTAAATCTCTCATCCAAATCTTTTCAGTCAAATTTCACTCCATTGTGATATAATGACATGCTTTCAATGTTCTCATAGCGATCTGTTTAAAATAATGCAGAAAGTTCATTTGATTCAAACCTATAATAATTTCGGTTGCTCGCTGCAAATTTGAAATGAGTTTTCTCAATTCACTCTGAAAGCAACAAATTCAGTAACTATTCAAAACAGAGATGTAGTGGGATTACGTTTGTCATTTTGAATTTTTTTACCACTCAGAGAATACTGGAGAATAGATGATCAAAAACGGATTTCAGTAAATAAATAAAATTTTTTTTATTGCAATTTTTGTAATTTTACGAAATAGTATTATGCAAAATGAAATTCACAAAGCTTCCAACCATTAAATTTTGCAATTAAATTAAACATTCGGACACCGTCACCAATTTTCAAAATTTTCGATATATATGCAAAAACTGCATGTATCGCGTCTTGAAAATAACGCATTTAGCGATAGGCAATACTTTACTTTATATTTAAATCACGTATTATGCACTGGGTAACACATTAAGCAGCTAAAAATCACAAAAACAAATTGACTACATTTCCTTTTTCTGAATGGCTTAAGCCTTATATTTACGTCACATGAGAATAAGTAATTATCATTGATTAAAATACAGTTTCCTGCGTCGTCTTGAAAAATTTTTCACACGCGAAAATCAAATTTCGCAACCTTCATCACTTTATTATGTAAATTAATCTCACTTATCCTATGCATTCTTTTTAAAGACTATTTGACATTCTGTAAATTTTCTAGCCTTCAGTATATCTTAATATAAAAAGCTTTGATCAAGCAAATCCTTAGACACGCTACCAACTGCATATAAATAATTAACCCTACATCACTTCCCTCGCCAGTAAGTTAGTAATTTCTCAAGCGTTACGAATTTTACCAGCAAGAGTTTCAGAATTGTGCTTGTTTATTACTAAGAAAACTTTCGACTTGTTTTCATCTTATGACTGAAAAATTTTTACTTCTGCATATCTGTCCCATTAGTGAATTTTATCTCAGACCAACTTGATAATGATAGTCATTAATTAAAATTAGAAAATAAAATCGCGATTATCAATTAATAGTGAACTTTTCTTGATGGCTACAGCAGTCGATCAAAATTTCAGTACAAAATTACCCACAAATTTTATTTCTGAATACGAAACACATTTTCACTAGGGGACAAGAAATGCTATCAACTACGATTTTTGATTACTTGAGAATATGTGGTAGCAATGTTGAACTGCTCTTGTGACCATTTACTGTCCTGAAACAATTTGCTAATGTAAATGTCTTTTTATTCCAAGAAATATTCATTTATGACTGAAAAGAACTGTATAAGAAGTCACACTATAAGTTTTGAAAAAATGAACTGTTTAAATTCAACTTTATCTCTCCTAATTTAATTTTATGTGATAAATTCTTTAATTTCTTGTGATCTAATCACTTGTTTTAGCACAAAAGAATTAATTTATTATAAATTTTTTAAAAACCAAATGGCAGATTATATAATTTTTCATGAAAAATTTTAAAAAAAATGCTTTTAAGGTAGACCTTGGCTTGATATAAAATGCATCGTAATCACCTTCAATCAATGTACTATAAGGCGAGCTGGCTTTTCGCACTCGATACGCTCGTCTTAGTGATCGGAAGCAAACGATTGTTGTTGCAAAACTTAGTGTTACTACAGTAAGTGGTAATTAAAACTACATAATCAAACAGGAATTATCGTAATATCATTAAATGTCAAAGAATCTCTGATTAATATCTGCTTTTTTGACATTTGAAAAATGCATCTTTTAAGATTTCAAAGGTTTTAAAAATAATAACCTTAAGTCTTAACATTTCAATATATATATATATATATTGGAACGTTAAGTTTTTTTTTTCGGCGACGAGTACCATAATGATTCTTTATGTATGTAATTATATTACGGTATTTAAAGTTTTTGTTTTCATTAGCTGTTTATTAATTATATATGTATGATTTTATACTCAAAATGGTTAAAGAAAAGAATTGCAAAAAAAACTGACATTCGATGAGCGCGTAGCAAAGAAGTACCGTATGAACATGATTAACTTTACTATGGCAGATTCCTTGATCACAATTATAATTTATCGTAGCTGCACTATCCATAAACATTATGGTACTCATTGCTGCAGAAAACACACCGAAAAACAGCAACAAAATTTGTGCGGGCCGATCTAAGCGCCTACAATTTTTTATCATTCAATAATTAAAATCTATCCTAAAGAACCATTGTAATTGGCATGTGCTCAAGTTGAGAATCATTTTCAACCTCTCAAATTACTGTAGTAACTGAAATTACAAAAACTACTCCTTGCGAAATTCCTAAAATATGTTGTCAATTTAAAGTTTTTGTTTTCATTAGCTGTTTATTAATCAAAGATTTGTTTAAAATAGTTCATTATAATTGACTCAAAAAATGAAATTTTTGATACCTCGCTGAAATGAACGAAAAAATTCCGCAAATGATAAATGAGAGTGATGCTGTTATAGCAAAAACTGTTCCCGAAATATTATTGGTTGTGACATCGAAAACTAATAAAGTGGTCCCAAGTGATAAATGACAAATTCCTAGTAATAAACCACAGAAACGACATGGCCATACTTCAGCAACATTTGCTGTATTGAGCTCGGAAGGTCCTGCAAGCATCAGAAAGTTTTTTATTTCAAGACAATTGCTGAAAATATGTCAGTCTGTGAAATATTTGAGTCTGATTTAGCATACTGCAGAAAAGTCACGAAAGATAAAATAAATTGAGTTATTAAAACCGAACGAAGACAACAAATACACAAGAGTTTCAGGGAAAATCTTAAAAATTGCGCAGAAGAAACAATGAATACTTAAACAAGAAAAAACAGTTATTGACTTATTTTTAGAAGCACTGACGATTGCTTTTTTAGGCATAGGAAGAGTTAGTGAGAAGCAACTTTATAACATTTAATGCAAATGGCTAATTAATTTTATTATTTAAATTATGCATATTTCGTCAACACTTCGGAGGAAAAAAAATCCTTTTCACCAACTTTTATTGCAAATTGCTATTTTATTACATTGGTCAAAAATTAACCTTTCTCAATTTGGGGAGAAGAATTTGGCAATTTAGTTGTCATCAGTGGCTCTCGATCATTTCTATCCATATGCCTTGTGATTTAGTTCAACATCAAATTTGGATCAATCAAAAAACTTGTAGACTTCATTGAAATTTCATTGAAATTTTGAAGCTAAATCAAAAAAAAAGAGGTAAAATTTATGAGTAATCTAAAAATTTTTGTCCATTAGTATCTGTTAAAAATACAAATTGCTAATGACAAATGCTTTGATGAAAAATTTTGCTCAGGCGAATAAACAACACCAACACGAAAGTTATCAATCGCGTAGCAATTTTTTGAGTTTTTTCTGCAAATTTATACTTTTGGAAACGACTGTATAAGCCTTGTCATTTTATTTTTAGTATAAATAGCAAACATGATATTAAAAGATATATTTATTTATGCAATAAAACCTAAAGTTTCTTAAAGTATTCAGTGACAGCTATTAAATAAAAACTTATACCACATGGAGTATTATATTGAGTATGTCTTGAAAGTTTAATACTGAATTGTGATATTTGCACACTAAACACTACGTTTTATAAATGAGCATTATTTCAATTTTTATCATTATTGATGAACCATTTTTTAACTTAATAGAAGCACTGATTCACATTTATAATCTTTAAAGTTACAAGTTTTTTGAACTGACAGTTCCTGAAAAAAAATTCTTTTAATCCATAATTATAGAATAAAAATTATATAGTAAAACTCAGTTATTCTTTTAACATAAGACATTTTATCTATTCCTTTAGACATATTCATTCAAAATTGCTTAAAACTGAGATAAAACATTCTTAATATTTCAAGAACAAAAAAATAGATCGAAGAAACCTATAACATTATTTAGTTTGTCTATTAAAATCAAAAAAAAACAAAAAAAGCACTAAAATATATTCTTTTTGCTCCAATTGAAAATGCTTTGCACTGCGTAGAAAAAGCATATTTTATTTGCTATCAAACTCTATTAACCAGTTCAAGAAATAGTTTTGAAAAGTTCGACTATTGCAGTTTATTTTTGATTGCTTCATAAATGGAATAAAAATAGATTATAATTATCTTGTGTGAAATGTTGAATTTGTATTTTACAAGAGAGAACTCGAACTTATAAAAAAAATATAACAAAAAACAATATTTTAATTCTTGTTTCTTCTCACTTATAATAGCTAATCTTCAATCTTTAGCCAATTTTCTAACCAAACAGCTGAAAAATTTATTTACAAATGTGTGTGTATTATTTTCAGTTGTCTTTCATTTTCCTCTATTCATATATACGCTCAACTGTAAAGTCCTGTAAAACTAAGCACTTATACCTAAAGTCAGCATTAATTGATGCAATATATTCCTTACTTTTCTTTTTCAGAATAATTAGAAAATTGTCAACAAATCAATGTTTTTTCTTAATACATAAAGGCTGCTGAAGATATCATTGAATTCTTAGACAGTAAATTAGAATATAAAAATAGGAAATTGAAATTTCTCGAATACATTTATTTCTATCATAATTAATTTAGATGCAATATAAATATGAGATGCTATCCTTGTAAACTTGGATTTCAGAAAATTTTTTCCAAATAACATCAAAATATTAGTTGCATTTAAAGAGTAATTTTCAAAAAATCGTTTTCGAAAGTTGTAACTGATCTCAAAGAAAAGACATGAATGATGCAGTAAAGTATGGAATGTAGGCATTAAAGCACGCATAATAGATTTTATCAAAAATTGAGATAAAAATAATACTGTGTATAAAAGACATAAAATTTCTCTTCTCGATAAGAAAATATACGAAGAAACTGATATATCTACGAAAAGCAAAAAAAAAGTAGTATGGCCCTAGCTGGGAGCTAAAGTAAATGCGTCGAAGCAATGGACAGCTGATGCATGTTTTGGAATTTTACTTGCTTTCAGAAATATCTCTAAATCGAATCGCCTGTTCGCAGTAAAATAAGATCACTACTAGAATAAATAATAGATTTAGCAAGAATATTTTTAATATTATTTGAGCAATACAATATACTTGCTTCAGTCATATATGCAAGTTTCAAAATTCTATTTTCCTATGCTTAATTTAAATGATGTTGAAGACCAGGAATTAAAATAGTAATACTTGGGAAAAGACTGGCATTTCAGTCTGTATATTATCATTTTTTTAAAATATTGCTATTATAAATAATCATTATTACATCGTGTTCTTCTATTATCAAATATAAGCCATTTTCTAGTTGATTGACGAAAATAGGCTTTTACCACCTGTTTTCTGTTTTGAAATGAGAAGTAATCATTTTATGAAATTGTTCAAAATAGTAAATCAGTTGTCATTTCTATTCAGTTTATTTATTAATTAACAGAAGTATGTCGTCTGAAATTTTATTTAACTCATTTATTTGGATTAAATTATTTCGTAAATGAGAAATGCTAGAAGAGACTCTGATTTTTTCTCAGAAATCAGCTCTTCTATTTTTTTAATAAAAAAATAACTAGCAAATTTCAAACGATACTCTTTAAAATTCACTAATGGCAATAAAAGAAAACCAAGCGTAATGACATTTGTCTGTAAAATATTTGATTAAGGAGACAGTCCTCAATTTTTCTAAAACAAAACTCTGTTAATCAATCAGTGCTTCAACCAAATTTATAAGATCTTGCAAGGTACTGATGCAATGAAATGATGCTTTATCATCGCTGATGTTGTCGATATCTTAATAAATGTTTACCAAAGAATTATATTAAACAATTTTTTCGATTACATTCATAATATTTTCTGTTTCTTTGCAGGCAGGATGTAAAGTTTTTGTGTTGTTCCACTTGATTTAATTCATAGCAGTGTGATTTTTAGTGCACAATGAGAAAGAAACATCGACAACATCTTTTAAAGAAAAGTAATTTGTAACAAATCGCACAACATTCCCCACTGATTTTCCTACCAAGCTTCCTTTAACCCAAACACTTTTTTGGATCATAAATTCCTTGTTTAACTGATATTTATAATCAGTATTGCACTATGTTTTCACTGCTTCTCTTTCTACTAATTTAAAGTGAGATTCTTAAGTTTTCGAAAAAATATATTCGTTTTAACTCACAACGCTTATGCTGGAAGTTTGTGCATACACGTTCTCTTGTAATTGATCAAAATAAATTCGTTAAGCACTCACACTGCAAGACTTTATTTTACATTTTCATATTTCCCTATTAAGGGAAATGAATATTATCAAGTTAACAATGGTGGTGTAATGAGAGATAAACAGTAAATAATAGTATACTTTTGTTGCAGACTTCGAACGGTTCACTATATATAGGATTATAAAGTGCAAATGTGTGATTTCAATGTTTTTCAATAAAGAATTACTACCGAAACTTGTGAACTACATAGATTTAATTAAGTAGCTAATAAGTATGGATTTGTCACAATAGCTTAAAAGTAAAGTAATTTACATGGAAGATAGCAAGGTAACCAAGTACTGCCTGGAAATCAGTGTCAATCAACTTTGTCATAAATTGCTAATATTGATTTCTTGGGTAACAAGCAATTTTTTTCATTGTACATTTTTACTATGGCCACACATTTCCCTTTCCTTAGCATGCGTGGTAGACGTTTATTATGTATTTCCTAAATCGAATAAATTCTCCATACAAATGCACTATAAACAACTAATATTATTTCATGTTAGACTCGACACATAGATTCATTCGTTACAGTCTTAGGTAGTTGCACTATTACAAATTTTATGCACATTGTCATCAGCAAATTTCAGTTAATATGTATTATACACAGAACATATGAACGTAGCCGTTCATAGACAAGTAAATGGGTATAACTAGTGGAACAATAATTAGCATTACTTGCTTGCATGAAATTTGTATATGAGACAGCTGTTCATTACCTAAAACCACCTCGTCTTAGACATCTTTGACACTTCCACACGATTATGCGCCACTTCTCTTTACATATTCCTGCTCATTCATCAAGTTGTTAAAGACAAGAGAACGAAAAAATGTGCACTTTCAGACTGAAAGGAGCAATGAAAAATGGCTCCTTGCAATGTGCGTGCAAAAAGTTGGCAAACTGCTTTCAAGGCAACATATCCTTCTTACTTCCTTTTTTTCATTTACACAGTCCACTTCTTCCACTATTATTTATCACGTAATAAGAAACAAAGCAAATAATCAATTATGCAAATTTGGTCTACTCTATATATAGAAACTTCATTAAACACCGCTAAATGCAGTCATCATTTTTGAACATTATTAACATTGTCTCAATGACGTCATTTAGCTGTTACTAGTAGTTAAATTTTTTCCTTTTCCTAGCTCTCCCACATCACTGGAGGCACGGCACTGTGCATGTTTTGATAACAGTGCAACACTTTGATTGGCTAATTAAAAAATGACAAGCGCAGCAGCTCCGCCTTTGAAAACCAACCGTGCTAAAGTATCAGATAATTGCTGAAGACGAGTTGAAGGACTCGTTTGCTCGGCACGGTTCTGTCTGTTTCAGTCGCATGTCAGCATGCAAAAAGTGCACTTCTACCAGTCTTCAGTCAGCCGCTAGACTTTTCTGACTTCCATTCCACTGCAATCTTGCTATGACTGAGCGCAGTCTGCGTTTCTCGTTTGCTATCACTATTGTTACTTATAGCCCCACATTGCATTAGCATGCGTGGTAAATGTTTACCAATTTTTTTGAAACAGAAATGAAAATGTTCGTATGGATGATTAGAACTGAGCAAAATTTAATTTGATCTATATTTGGAAGTAATATCGTTTGTCTGTTTCTTATGGGTTTTTGGTAAATTGACATGCTTAATTTGCAGATGTACATAGCGTAACCCTACCAAATATGACGTGATGGAAAATTACATCTGACAACTTCATTAAAAACTTCATTACAGCACTCCATAACTTCGGTTTTGGTTTTTGTTCTGCAAACCAAACTGAATTTTTTCCTTACAAGACGAAAAAGTGCAATTGGTGATATCCATTTATAGTTTTAAAAACGAGAAAAGTCACTAGTCAGTCATTTGAGCTTTTCGACTTGGTAGTTGTTAGTC